TTACTGTGGGTTACTTCTCCTTTATTAATTTTTGACAACACTAACACTCTCTTTTTATGGTGGGCAAGGCGAGACAATCAAATGTTCCATAGAAAAAAAAAGGATTATTTTATAAACGAAATCCAGATTTATTATGTCGATACAGGCATATTATTAAAAGATCTTTCCTCTTATATTTTTAGTACAACCGATGTATTGATAATTATTATCAATCAATATAATTTAAAAAAAACTTTTGTATTGATATATAAAATTATATCTTAATATTATCTATTTCTCTATACTAATTAGAACAAATGCTTATATAATGCACCATAACCTCATCACAATAACTATCTTATCCTAAATTCAAATGCAGAATTTAGTCCTTCTGCATGAAACTTTGTAAACTTTAACAACGTTTATGATGTTCTGATGTATAACGATGATCTCTTGAAATAAATCTTCTGTAAAATACTTTCAAAACGTACTTTATAAAACTCGATATTTTCAATATTGATGAAAGATGTTGCCATTCCGTAAAGAAATTCTTAAGAATTATATCAATTTATATAATTCTTTCAAAACGCTATTTCTCGTACAAATTTGTCTTAATTTTGATTAAAACGTATTTGATAAAAATCTTACATATACTTCACAAATAAATGATTTTTTTTCTGTGCTACAATAATTATTTTCATTCATTTGTTGACACAATGTGTCCTAGTAAACTGGTAGTAAAAGATCCTACAGAGTGTGACACATCTGTTTCATATTTGGTTATTTTAATGAAATAAAAAGTGTATAGCTAACAAACAGCAAAGCCTTATGATCAACGTGATGACTACAATTTTTCAATCGCCAACTTTCATTACTTACTGTTATTATCTACATAAATTATGAGTTTTATATCTCCTAGGGTTTATATATATGTCAATTGATTCGATACGAAAGAGCATGACCTACGTGAAGGATATGGAAATAACGAACAGTATTCAATATCAAAGTCCATAACACAATACAAAACAGGCGCAGAGCAAACACGGACCTCAAAAACATTTTCAATTTCTATGATAGGTGCCACGGAGGATGGCATTTGTTCGCATGGTCACACCCGGCGTGTGCTCCTTGTCGTGATCGGGAAATAACGAAAAAATCCGTCGTCAATTCAGTGTATAAATAATGGATTAACAATTAGTATGAAAAACGTCAGTCAGCCTTTGACTCAATGATAAATTGTATATGCTGACAAGGTCATTGTATCAACCATATAATTTGCAAAATGATGACTTTAAACGAGACTGCTGATATTCTTGTTTCATCAACTTATTTGTCAATAATTTTCTTCGTTTTAGAAATTGTTCATACGTAGAACATAAAATGTTTTTAAGACAAGGTAAGTTATTGACGAGTTGACAACAAATTGTTTAAAGAAAGAATATCAGTGTCATCAATATTCGTTTAAAGTAATCATTTTGCAAAATATAAAACAATGATCATTCAAATCATTTACTCAAATGCTAACAGTTTTTCAGTCTTTGTTTTCATTATTAAACACTTAATTGTTAACTGGATTTTAAACGTTGTTTTCCATTTAAGATGAAAAACAATAGCAAACAGCGGGTGTTACCTTCTTCATTGATCGTACTTCCGATGTTAAAGAGGTTCTTGTTTACTCTGCTCCTGGTATATATTTCTGACATGTTGCTCCAACTTATAAATTTCTTTCTTTACCTAAAATATTGGTATTTTTTTAAAAAAATAAATTTCATTTCTACATGAACCTTTCTTTCCCTTCATTAAAAATACAAACCATTTGAACATAAATCTTATCAAATGTGTCTGGTTTCGGCATTGTTATTTTTTGTCAGAAAAGTCATCCATTTAATTAAACAAAGGGTTCTTCTAACTAAAGGGACAAATTTCAAATAGAATTTCACAAAAGATTAAACACAATAAAAAAAGTTTTAACATGGCATCAACATTGTTAATAAAATAAAAAGTACAAATTCTTTAAGAATGGAAGAAAAGACCGAATTGTATTCCACACTAAAGTTGTTAAAGCCAGCTTTTTATTTGCTAATTTTGACAATTTTGCCAGATCATAGAATTTTTTTCAAACACATTTCCGTGTTAAAATACAGGATGTCGACTGTTAAATTAATTTCAAAGTGGTTTTGAACAATTCTAGACGTGAACTGATATGATTGGATGTGGTTTATATTCATTACCAGTTCATGTCACTTTCAATCAAGTTTTTAATTAGAGACGTATGACTTAGTAAGATTGATTCTTTTAATTACTTTTTTTAGAGTAAATCTCTTGCTTTGACTTATAAAGGATGGGAAATCCTTTTTTTAAAATCATCTTTGAAACGCACTAATATCGTTTTTATTTCTTATACTTGCATTTGCAATTTATACATGTATACATGTGATCCGTCACTTCATCTTAGCATTTGAAATAAGGATGATTTCCACTTTTTGGAAAAAAAATCAACACATCAATTTTTCATGCTATTAATGTTTTAGATAGATTATTTAATCTTAATTGTTAATAACCTATTTGAAATAATTGTGAATGCATTTTGTGTTTTTTTTATTCTTTCTAATGACAGAATCCATTAGACCGTGTAATCATTTTTGTCAAAAGTTTTTAATAGCTGTCACAAACCTAATGTTCTATGACGATGCATGTTTGCTCTATAACAGGATACAATGTTAAACTGACAAGAAAATTAAGAAAAAGAAACTGATAAACTCCATTCATGATATTTTACATTATTAGTCCCATATTCCAAATTCATTATTACATAATAACAAAAGTGACTTTTAAAATTATATTTTTAACTCGTTCCTGTCTTGCTTCTTCTAGGCAATGCTATGAGATCTCTTATTACATTTATCATTCAAATTACTAATCTATAAATCAAAAACTTAATTAATACACATTTTCATTAGAGTTAGTTTTTGTATATACTGATTTTGCAATTAATCATCGTTAACTGTCATATTAGATCAAATGCTCATAAGAATGAGAAATTAAATAAGGAAATGTTTGTTGATGTAAAAGAGTCAATGACTTAAAAAACTGCAGTAACAATTATTTAGGGGAAAAAACAAAAAAGAATACAGCTCTTCATACAAGCAAAAAAATTTGAAGTTAAAAATTCAAACCATGAACCATAGACCCCTATTAAAATAAATATGGCAATTTCTTAACCCAAAGAAGGATTTTGTTGAATCTATTTTGCATATTTTTATTTTCAATGAAATCGAATTTCCCAAATTTGTGTCTTTCTGAAAATCCAGCAATCTTTCGTCCTAGCTACATGTAGTTCTTATGAATCCACTTTAAATTTTGTACGCATTATTTATGATAAATTTTGCAAAAGTTGATGCTGTGAAAGATCATGTTTATGAAATGTTTGCTATTTCTGGGTAGCTTCGTGACGACAGATTATTAAATGTATGTATGCTTTTGTTAGCAAAGTACAAAATGCAATATTTGAACATTTCTCGGATTCATTGAATTTCAAAATACTTCCTTATTTTCAGCATTAAATCAATTAAATCGGTTTTGGTTTAAATTAATAAATTTCAAAAGGAGGAAAATTATTATTCTTTGTTTCTTTTCATTTTGTTCTGCACTTTACACTTAGATAATACATTGTAAATCGCCATTTGCTTCTATGAAATATAGAGATAGCAAATCATAATCAAGACAAAAAGTCCATTGAAATGATGCAAATCTGGAGCAGGGCAACCATGGAGCTCTAAAAACAAAAAAAAAATGGGATCAGGTTCCATAGAGGAGTAAACATCCTCTGTCGCCCGGTCACACAAGTTGTGTAATCCTCATGATGAATGTGCAAATGGAAAAATCTGTAGTCAATTCAATGTGTAAAAAAATTTTTCCCTACAATTAGCAAGGAAAACGTCAGTCATACTTGAAATCATATTGTAATCATAAGTCCTGAGGATCGTTCACATTCCAAATTTTCATTACTGATCTAACGGAGGGAGTTCATTTTTGAAGAAATATTTAGTGAATAAAAGGTGAATTAAAAAATCAAGGGTGAAGCAACAATGCGCATTTATAAAATATTTTCGTCATTTTAATGCAGACATAAAGAGCACACAGAACTAAAGATACAGATTTATTTAATCAAATAATATAATTTTTGATAAAGTTTACATGAAGCCATTTCTTCTTTGGTTATTTCAAAGGGAAACAACTAACATCCGGTATTCAGCTGTCTTTTTCTAAGAAATATATTAATCGCGTGAAATGTCTACATATCACATCTATGGAGTAAATTTATTATTAAATGTAGTAGTTACCGTAGAATTATTTTCAAATTTAACTTTTTAAAATCACTAATAAAATGCAGTGAAGAACAATGAACTTGCAAATTGGACCTTAATTTTGCACAATATTAATTAGCAAAACATAAAATATAATTATAATTATGCGACTGTCAAAGAAATGTCACTTTTTAATAGACAAAAGTGACATAGCATGATATTTTAGAAACAATTAGCATTTTCTAAGGTATGAATAGGGAATTTCCTTTCTACCATAAAAATATTATTATCATAGATATATATCAATAAGCCAATTATGTTTTCAACTCATAATATATATGTTACACATATATTATGGCATTTTAATATCTTTCCAATATGTTTTTACTTTCTCATAACCTGAAACAATTGGATAAGCTATTGAATTCTAAAATGTATATGGAAAGAATACCAATACTATTTGCCACACACCTTGTTTTTGATCTGATAAGGTACTTAGTATTTAATTTAATAAAAAAAAGACTTCTCTTTTTTATTAATTTAGTTTTTATCTAATTTGCGTATCTCTAGACCAAATATTCATTTCCAAAGTTTTATATATTTAGTAAGCCAAGACAGATTTTTTTTACAACATATTTCCATGTTTTTTGCTAGTATGTAACAATACTATTGAGACTTCAAATTCTAAAAACGAAAACACTTGAACAAGTTGAAAAGGGTTCGTTAAAAACAATTTAATTCACAAATCATATGTACATATCAGAAAACAACAATAATAAATAGATAAAAAAAGAAGAAAAATTCTTCTTGTCAGGACTAAATGTTAACTTGACTTGATAGAGAAATTTATCGGAAATAGATATTAAGAGTATGATTTAAGACATTGAAAACACTGTCTCGAGTCGTATCATAAAATTTAACCCGTTCATGTAATTATTTAATAAGACCTTCTACATAAATGTATTAGTGTTAAAACATAAGTCAGAAGTATCTTAAGAGAAAATGCATTTACATTACCACTAAAACTGTTTGTGTCGCCAGATTTTTCAGCTAAAAAGGGCAGACATGAATATCAAATTTAAATTTTATTTCACTTTGAGTGTATTTTTTTCACTAATATTGCTTAATATGCTATCCATTCAGAATGGACATAGATTAGAATAAACTATATACATCTGCATTCGAAACTCCGTTATTTTGTTAAGACTTCATCTTCTTGGAGGAAAAATCAAAGAAACCTGTCACCACCTGATAAGAAAAACATGGGAGAAAAGATAGAAATAAGTTCCAACAAAGCAGGTATTGGTTGACAAGCAACACATTCAGATGATTGATGTTCAAACTATTTTGTAGTTTGATGTTTTCCTCATCATGACAACTTACCATTTAAATTCTGCGCCCCAGGCCTTTCTTATACACCTGGAAAAGGTAGATAAAACATAGATAATCAAACAGACTTTTTTATCTAAATATTTAATTTTTTATAAATTTCAATAAGTCCTTAAAACAATCATTTGAATTAATTTAACTCTGCCTAAAAATCTCAAAGAAAGAAATGTGAAAGTAAATAAAATGAATAAATAGAAGTCGTGAGCTTTATTGTAAGGTAAATATTAAACAACAAGCACAGAAAGTGATGAATACTGCTGAAAAATACCTCTAAATCCTGAAGGATTCTGTAGGAAGGACTCAAATAGGTTCTGAAGCTCTGTTCCTGATAATATAAAAACAGTCAACACTCAATCACTAAATTTTTCTTTGTCAATTCTTATAATTTCATATGTATTCATAACTCCTTTAGTTTCTTTTTTCGATTCTAAGTCAAATACCCTTAAAATCAAACTATAGAACATAGCTGGTCTTTTGAACCCACAATAATAATCACATCAAACCATTTTAAAGAGGGGTATTAATTTTCAAAAAGTTCATCCTTATTTTAAAAAATATCCGATTGGAAATGCCACACATTTTTTACAAAGTAAACGTACTACGAGGGTTGTCCCATAAAATCGTGGACAAAGCGTTTTTCTCGAAAAGTAATGGGCGCACTAAGCTGAAATTTTCAGTAAATGTTTATTCATCATATTTAAGTGAATCATAATGTTTTTGATAATATATATTCAAAAATAAAGATTTTATTCTGCTTGAATGTGCACAAAAGTCCTACGGCGCACTTAAAAATAAGGTTAATTAGAGAAGACATAAAAATTAATTCGTAATAAAAGTTTTCAATACATAAGATTAGGATGAAAATTATCCATTCACATTTTAATCAATTCTGTCGTCTTTTTAAAAAATTCAAAGGTTAATTTTTAGTTTCCCGAGCATTTGAAATGGGAAAGTAATATGGCGACTTTTTATGACGTTACGGCGCACCGGAGAGCAGTTCAGATAGATTAGGATGTTGTTATGACGCCTTAAGAGATATACAGAAGAAAGAAAATATGAAAAACAGATCTTTAGTATATAAATGAAATGAAAGTTTTCTTAGTGAAGTCTTCGTGATGTACTGCCATTTGTAATAGCAAAGGACGCTGTTTTCGTCGATGTGAGATTCTCTTTTAGTTGAATGATGGTAAGAATACTGTCTGTAACTTGCTAATAAATATTCAGAAGATCGCATGAGTGTGCCACATTGGTTTCTTTACTGGTTATAGATACTCACATATGTAAATCAATAAAATTTCTAAATTTAAGTGGGGCTTATCCTACTTTAAGTTTAGCAAAGATGAAAAAGACACTTTGACGTTATCATTGTAGGGCGAAAACATAATATAAAATATCACACTATGCATATATCTATTTGAAATTTGCTATGTATATTTATAATTTATCAACTAAAAAGTGGTGAAAATTTCAGAACGCAGTGATGATTATTTTTCAAACTAGACAACTTGTCCACGATTTTACGGGACAACCCTCGTATATAGAATATAAACAAATACGTTTGTAAGTTTTCTCATATGAGGGTATTTCGTTTCGAATAGTTACTATAACAAAGGGTGTAGCAAAAAGTTGCTTTGAAAAACCACACTATAACCAAACTAATTAAACAATGCTACAATCCTTTTGTTTCCCAAACATGAAATTGGGGAATCGATAACATGGTAGGTTCTGGGAAAACTGCAAAAACAACTAAGGACAACAATAAATATCCAGTCTTGTATATACTGATTGATTCTTAACAAAAAATCATACGAATGAATTTAAATTAAACTTGATATGTGAAAATTGACAAGGAAGTACGTGTTTCCTCAGTACATATATCTCAAAAAAATTAGAGCTATGTTATACAGATGAATTTCACCACATTGACACATTTGGATTTTTTATAGAAAAGTTATTCTCGCTCTGGAATTAAAATTGTTTCAAAATCTAACAGAAAGGGTTTCACATATTTTTCAGTTATTTTTTATGTACAAACACAGTCTGAATAAAAAAAATGTTAAAATTTCATGTGACATGTATAAAAATTCATAATAATTCAAGGAAAACTAATTCATTTCAAAATAAAATGTCAATTTCAGACTTTTGAGGCTCTTCATAAAAGACAAGCTTTGATTACTACTGCTTTGTATTTCCGGTTAAACGTTTCTTGAAGTAAAACGTTTATGTAACCTGGATTTGTAATAACTACTAATGAACATGCTCATGCAGACTTACGCTGATTCCATTGTTGTTGAAATGCATTCCCAAAAAATCCTGATTTCAAAATAATGAAATAATAGGTTTTTTTCTAGAACACAATGATTACATCTATGTTACCTATCACATGATTTTCACTATGGTTGATTATATAAAGCTAAGTGTATTTTAATTTCAGTGCACTGGACATCAATCAAGAATATCGGAAGATCTGAAGATAGTTGTAAATCATTGCGACAAAAATAAAATGGCACAAAGATCAGAAAGTATACAGATAATTATTCCAAAGACATCAAAATGCCCTCAACGCATCAGGAAATACATTCTAGAAACATGCATCTATTCGTTTTGCATTTATACACGTTTTAGATGATTTGATTCATTATGTACCTTATATCATTAACATTCCAATTCCATTAGTGATCAGTGATATGCTCGATAAAGAAATGCATGAATTGATAACAATGAAGTTATTCGTTTTATTATTTAGACAAATTTGTTAATTTGCAATCAAGGCACGAGTTCGATTGAATTGCCTACAGCGTAGCATTGCAAACAATAAAGAAATCACGAGCTCATTAACAATTTTATTATACATGTAAATCATTTTTATTGATTACTTTTCTTTTTCTTGTGATATGTATATTATTATAAATTTAGAACGAATTCTAGACAATAATGACTTTATTATTATTATTATTATTATTATTATTATTATTTAGTTTAACACAATGTTTAAGTTTCAATTTAGATTTTTTTTTCTCTTACGAATCATAGTACGCCGTAAACTTAAAATACCTAATATAAAGGATTCATGGAGGGTCATTCCTGCAATTAATTAAACAATTTAATGATATCGACTGGTTGTGAACGGGTAAGAATATTTTTCTGGTATTTCAATCATTTATAGGTTTGTAATCTTTAGAATTTTTTTTCCACATCGACTTAATCTAGATTCATTCTCAACTATGTCTTTTGCTTCCAAATTTTAGCAGTAAGGCCTTTTTTTTTACAACAATTCTTTAACGATTCAAAAGATCATTCAAAGAACAGCTCGAAAATAAAAATATCTTTAAAAAAAGACAAAACAAGATAACGAATAGCCCTTCTTAAGCTATCTATTTGAAGGTTATAATTAGGCCAAGAATGTAATGTAGAGAATGAACATCACCGTTTACTGATTCTTTCACGAGTTTACGTATATGTTACTTACCGGTTGTTGGGGAAGTCCCAGATGACGTTCCCGCTGCACTACTTGGCTGTTCCTGTCCGGTTCCTGTAGAACTGAAAGGATCTACTGGAGGAATTGCAGGAACCACGGGCTCTGAAGGGACTGCATTGTTTCCTGAACTTCCGGTTCCGGTGGATGCAAATGGTCCTCCAGCATTGGCCTCTTGATTCACTTTGTTTGTAAAATTAGAAGACACTTGAGTGATATATTCTTCAATTATTGCATCCTGTGTGCCTTCTTCGAATAACCTTTCAGCAATAACGTTGCCATTTTCATCTTTAATAGTGATAAGGGTGTGGCTAATTTCAGGGTTTCGTTGCATTGTTTCACCATTAGCTAAGGTGCCAGTTTCTCCTCCTGTTGCAAGTGGAGATCCAAACCTCTCCAAAGCTTGCTGATTTGTGAGATGTCCATCAATAGTATGCTCTGATGTTGATGGACCAAGATTAACACTTCCTGGTTGGATTGTTTCTAGTCCAGGTGATACAGGATTTGCATTCGTGTTTGGTGATCCTGGGGCAGCTGGAAGTGAACGAATGATGTTTGTAGATGACACCGGTAAGGAGTTAGGAGGAATTTGCCACGGGTTAACGACTGGGGGCACCGGAGTTAGATTCACCGGTGGTACAACAGGCTGTGATGCAGATTGTTGATTTATTTGGGTGTTTTGAACTGCTTGTCCTTGTTGTTGCTGTTGCTGAAGCGCCGCTTCTAATGCCTGTTGTCTCCTTATTAGAGACTGTTGTAACTGTAATCTTTGACGTTGTAAATCTAACATTTGTTGTTGTTGTTGTTGTTGTTGTTGCTGCTGCTGTTGTTGTTGTTGTTGCTGCTGCTGCTGTTGTCGAGATAATGCCGCCGAGTTATCGGTTGAACCAGGAAGAGTTGAACCCGGCCTGTTTTGTCCAAATGAAGGCGGAGTTTGACTGAATGGGGAAATACCTGACACACGGGACTGTGGATTTCTTCGGGCAAATAAATCCACTGGAAACTGGGGAATGTTTCTCATTTGTTGAAAATTTGAAAAATCGTTTTGCAATGTATCCAGACTGTTTCTATTCACTGGTCTTAGAAACCTATTTTGATTTTGCTGTGCAAAATTATTTGGTAAACGGTTGTCTGGGGGATTTGAATTTGGGGTTCGCTGCACCGCACCAAATGGAGGTCTAACTAAATCGTTAGGTTGTCTATTGTTGGAAGGACCTGTATTTCTGTTATTATTATTATTATTGATTCTGTCCGACGTCTGTCTTCCAGGAATCGCCCTGTCGTTTCTATTATTATTCCAAAACTGCCGAGGCTGGTTGATTGCATTTCGCAGTGTACCAGATCTCATAGGAAAAGGGGGAAACCTTTGAAATGCCCCTGGCGGAGGTGGACCAAACCTCCTGAAGGGATCGTTTCTGAACATAAATCTTCTATCTCTTTGAGGGAAGAACTGCGCTAAAGAACAAAGAAAATAATATTTTATCCCTTATGTCTATAAAATCATTGTTTTCTTGATTTAATGACGTGGAAATTTATGACAATTTTTTTTATTCAAAAACGATAGGAAAATTCATGTGCAGAAGATCAAATGTTCTCTATTATGTTGAAATAGCACTTCCTCGTCTAGGACATTATTCAATGATTCACTGAGTTACAATCAATGTTCTGATTTCTGTTTGACAGTTTTATTGGTGCTTAACATTGGGTGAAACACATTAAGAATTGAATAAGTCAGCGAATTCATATTTAAGAATTTTGAGAGAAAAAAGAAAGAAATCTTTATTAATTACCAAAATTTTTAACCAATTATCAAACAGTCTATGGTTTACCATTTTCTTCATTTTTTAAGAGCAAAACCTTTAACCTTTCTTATTACAAAACATTACATCATAAATCTTACGTTTGCTAAATAATGCTAAATGTTATCTTGGTTGCAATAAACAATTTAGTTTCATTAAATGATTAATTGCTTACAGATCTTTTGAAACCATGTTACCATTTACCATCCTCTTAGTCATTTATGCATCTTTTTTTTTCAAATATAGAATACTTTTAATGGGAATTCGTGTTTCCATTTTTTTGGATCAAGCGGAAAGGTCACTTTAATTTTCTTCATCTCAATCTATCTATTTCAATTTTTTTGTAATTAAGGTAAATAAATACTTTTTTTTTAAAATGCCTTCTCATTCTGTTAGCTTTACTTTGTTTTGCAACTTATCTCAATCCAATAATTTTTTTTAGTTGAAATAAACATAATGAAAACAACAACCAATATAGTAGACTTAAACAATCACTTACCATTCGTATAAAGGAGACCCTCTAAAAGAATCAGACACAAGGGTAATAGATGCATTGTCTCTTAATTAAGGAGTGAACACAACTTAGCACCTATCGTCTTAAAGGTAAACCCTGCAAATAGAAAGCACAGCAGGAAATTACAATCTGTCGTTTCAACAAACAAATGTTACCATCACTGTAATTTAAAATCCAAAGTATGTCGTCAAGAACGAAATCAAGCATGGAGAAAAATTGACGGAAATTACCTTTACAACGGAGATATAACAAAACGCTGTCAGAACGTAAAAAAATGAAAGCACAAATCAGAATTTAACCATTTTCTAAATATTATTATTTATAAGGTACTGTGTACTATGTTGTTTAAAAACTCAAAGAAAACAATAAAAATACATTATAAAGACCCACATCCGTTTATGTGTTTTTATTAATGCTTTACGTAGGAAAAGAAGGTTTTCTTAATTATCTAGCATTAATAAGAGTCATTAATTGCGGTTTTTGTAAAATTAATATTCTATCATATAAAGTCATATATTATGTAAATTTCACAATCATTATGTGTCTTTTTTGATATTAAACTACAACTGATAGAAAGAAACATACACTTACATATAAAGATAAAGTCTTAATAGTATGTCAATATATGACAAAAATACTTACATGAGAAATAAATTAGAGAATAATGAACAGAACGTCATCAAGAACTTAAGTTACAACGCTACTACCAATAATACAAAAATAGATTTTAATGATACTATACGATTTTGAATTAGTTAATTACTCCATTTTCTCTATATTTGTATTATTCAATACCTTTTTTATGTTTTTGAAAATGAACTATTTTTAAATATCCTACAGAGTTGCTTGATAGTCAGAGTTTAAGTCATCCTGTTTTGAAGTTTTTTTTTATATTTACTAGTATATGAAATCATATGTTTCACCATTCATTGAATCTCGAAAACAATTAATGGCTTATATTGGCTTACAATAAGTAATAATCAATAAAGTAATTTAAAACAACCTACTAATGAACCGTAATAATAACAAACTTTATTTGTGAAGTCTACAAAAATCTTTTGCCAAAACAAATTCACAATCAATTTGACTGAAATCAAATATCAGCTGAGACATACTTGTAACTCACTGCATAAAAAGTTCCAAATATTATAGACCTCCAGCAGAACACAATACGCAAGTTTTGAATTTTTTTTTGGGACAGTTATTTATATATTGAATACATTGCATCATCGATATACTGGTTTATCATAACTACATGCTTGTAGGATGTAATTTACAACTCGAGAATAACCAAATTAATGTAAAGGCGTAAATTTTTAAAGCAAAGAAATCGTAATAAAAAAGAAAATATCAGTGGAATAACTTTTCAATAAACATATATTTAATAATACGGTACAAATGCATCTGATCATCACACGTCGGCAATCTAAATGACACACTGATTTTTTCCTTATTATAACTTCAAAAAACCCACTAACTTTTTAAGAGAAACTGTTTAAAATCAGTTACTTTTAATAAGGACTACGGTGTTTCTTTCGTTTTAGTACCCTATATTTGAAGTTAATTTGTAAATATGCATAGTTGAGCTTGATAAAATCATCAAATGCATCACTGCTTAACATTATTATCTTTCTATAGCATTTAATAAATTTTAAAAACCATAAATATCGTTCATTTATTTATGCATGTTTGTATACATAATACAGAAACAACCTGTCCCACCTCGATGCTGAAATGGATACTTTTCACGCCTCTATCGTAGGAGAGTTACAATCTCGAAACTCCCGTATTGAAATAATTCCAAGTCAAAAAATAGGAGCTGTATAAACTTGAATTATGTAAAACATCATCCGAAACTACAATATTGTTTTACACCATTCAATACGTTAGATTAATCGAAATCTGCATCCACATGTCAAAAGTTCGGAATAGTGTTTGGTTAGAGTGGCCACAATGGGCGTCAAGGTTAGGGCAGGATCCTTGGTTAATGAGACAAGTTTAAGACATCCTAAAGACATCAATTATTACTGGTCCAATGCCCTCCTCGATTCATTTCATCCGGAAATGAACGGTATGCATCCAATGCACAGAACCCACCTACAGGTGAAAATATAATCTTTTGTTTATCAGTTTATCTATATGAAACATACGTGTACCTTTGAGAGGGTTTTTTGTAGAAAAGGAAATTTAGCTGCGGTCCAAAAAGGGTCAATAGTTCAAAAATGGGGTTTCCAGGAAACTCGGATGATTTTACAGTATTGGGCAAATCCTGTTGTTACAACTCGCTTGTTCTTCGCCGAAAAACGCTCTATTTATCAAACTGACAAGAAAGGTTCATAGGTATATCCTATTTTGTGGTTTTGAGAAAAATAAAATTTTGACAACTAAATAATAGATGTTCTCTTGATAAAAAGTGAACTCCTGTAGATAAAGGTGCATGGCGTAGAATTTCGGCATGGTATATAATGAATGTCAATACTGACAATAGGTTAGGAAGAACAAATCGATTATTTATGGCGTGATTGCCGATCAATACTCAATTTCCCATTTTTGGTTAAAACAGACAATGCCTTGATGACATGTGATGACATCAATGGTATAAGTACCGAGAGAGTACCTCATCTCAATATTATCACTCATATGACCCAACTCTTCTTTGGCGCCCATTGTTTTATTCGTAAACAAACTCATTTGTCCAACAAAAGATTAGAACCTTCATAACAAATAAATATATCAAATATGAGGTGCGGAATGAAAATACAGTCATGTACTGAATGTTTATTCGATACTTACATTGATATATTATCAGTGGCACACCAAACTTAATGGTAAGCTGATTTTTATGAGAGGGGAGTTTCATATATTAGCTAAAGGATCATTGCTTATAAATGTAAAGAAAACAAATTTCAAGACATATATTCTTTCAATAAATAAATACTTTGTGATGAACTAACCCAAACATTGAAACCTAGGCCCTTTACCAAGAAAATAGTCCATACTTTTCAGAAATTTTCTCGCTCTTCAACAGGAGATAAAGACTTGACTGCTCTAGGCTAACGAGTGAAGAAGAATGTTTCTGAAGATAAGATTAATTTCGAGTGATTTTGATAAACCAAGGTGGTTAGGACCTTTGAAATTAATTTGCCTCAGTTTAAGTTTTTTAAACCGATCGAGGTAAATTCTGAATCAGTAGGTTCCAAGAGGTTAACAATGTTTATTACTTTACAGACAACGTACTATTGATGCCGTTAAGGAGACAGGTAAGAAAAGGACACCTAAATTACCCATATGATCCATAAAATCTAAATGATAACGTTTGTTTTATATCGTTCGAATGACAATGAATAATTTCAATTTTGTATTTATAATTTTATTCATCCAATTCTATGATATGTTCAGGCGTTTTTTTTAAAAATATAAAATGAAAGTGATTAAAAAATACATCGAACATTAATATCATTCATCTGTTTATCAAACTATAGTTTTGTTAAATGTAATAATAAAAAGAAATTCTAGCGCAAATCTGTACATGGACCTGAATTCATGATCTTGTTGTTTTACGAAATAAACATCTAACAACAAAAGGTTCTGGAGATTGTCAATCTGTGTTCATGTTGTTTTTGTAGCAGGAAAAGTCTTGCACCTTTTGTTTATTACAACTAATTCAATGTATTGAGACACGGACATCCACTTCACATTTGCTTGTTACATGTATCTTGTAGAAAGACGCCCCCTTTGGCTTCACCGAATACTTAAACGTTTTGCACCTTTCATAAAACTACGAGAGCCAAAAAAATATCTCTTGGAAAACTGTGGCGCAGTTTATATTGTTGTGTATTTTGAAGATAATTCACCATTCAGATTCATGTGTTGTTTTTTTTTTTTTTTTTTTAAACAAATCACAGAGTTAACACATGAACTACAAAATGTACCTATTTTACCAAGCATTTATACAATGAATTCACGTAATATTACATTCAAGATTTGCACATAATACGAGAAGGCATCATTTAAACCATCAATTATAATAACAACACTTCTGTTGCATTTTGACTGATGACTGCAAGTTATCTGTGCAGCTCATTAATAGCGATCAATCAAAAAAGTATTTTAATGGGGTCAGCACTTTCACAAAAAAAAATGTACTTTCTATTCTGATTTTACAATCATGCCACAGGATAATGTTTTATTTTTTCCTCTATCTTACATGATAAAAAACACTTTGCAACTGAGAACCAAAAATTAACGAATCCGGATAAGGTCGTATGGTTCACTGAAAAAATCGCGCTTTCACACCATCGTAGTTTGGATAATGCGATAAAGTGTTGACGACATATGGTGCGATGACGCAGAAGCGATGGTGCCAGTGATCGATGCTTAATATGGAAGTGATGGAGCGCAGACGCGATGGTGTTATTGCACTATGGAGCCAGGACGATGGATCCATCGTTTAATAAGACCATCGTCATCACATTGACCCACGTGCACCATCGCGTCATCGTCATATCGCCATTGTTTTATCGTCAACGCGCCATTGCATTATCATACCATCGATCTTTAAGTTTTCAACATGTTGCGATGGTGAACTAAGACTAGTAAGAGTCCTTGTCCAGATTCAATATCAAAAGCCAAACTCACAACATAAACGCATTGATTTATTTGGAACTTTTTTTCTCTGTCTGTGCTCTGCATTTTGAAGACATATTTCTTTACCTTTAACTATCGAAAAAATGCATTCTGATATTTACAAATAACAGCTACATTAAAGATTGATAATGGTAACAAGTATTTAATTGAATATAAAGTTTTATCGGAAAAATTTTCAAGAGATAAAATGTATAGTACAGTTCAGGTGACAAATCACTTTGTCGCATCCAATGTACTTTAATATTCCAAGAACGTTGATCTTGCTTATTGGGAAATACATTTCGTAATCATTCTTTGTCTTAAGGTGTATATATATACATTCGGTTGAAGTAATGCTCTATAATTTACAGTGCCAATGGTCATGCTGGCCTTAAAAGTAGCACGTGATAAAAAAAATTGCATATGCTAATACACATCATTAGGACATACATGTATTGTATTCTGATTTCTTATTATTACCTTCTAAATCAATGCATATATTGATAGTAAGATGCCTAGATAAAGTAGATTGGTAAGGGAAAATTCTACATGAAACTTGTTACTTAATCTTGTTATTGATTAATCAATTTCATAAAATTAGCCTTTACAATGATATACAGTGGGTTTCAGTAAATGTTTAGTCCACCAAGCCTCTTTCTGTAGAGAAAGAGAAACTCCAGAGCAGAGTACAACAATGTATGCATGAGGCGGTGTTATTCAGATTTGGATACTTAAAGATTCAAGAAATCAAGAAAATTTTAACTAACAAATTCCTCAAAAATCAAATACAAGAACATGTACATCAAGACGAACAAAATTTAAAAACTTTAAGCCACCGTTCCCCACAATGAATTAAAGTCAAGGCTTTTGACATCATATACAGCTTCTTTGCAATAACAATGGACCTCTTAAAGTAAAATAGGCCCATTTTGTTATTGGTAGTTTGCAGAATCACTGATTGGTAAAACATTCTTACTGTACACGAAAGTACTACAAAGTTTATATTTAAAAGATGCCTGAGTTTCGATTCTGATTGACAATATCTATGTTCTTTTTGTAGATCAAGTAAACTTCTAGTCTTCCGATAATCCTTCTAAATTGAATTTTAGCCCCCTTATTAGCAAACTTATGATTTATTCATTCAAAGCAAGATTAATTTGAAAAACACGAAAATAACACTTTTTTAAGCAGTGAACGCTATTCAACATTCTGATAAGTAGAATACTAACAGTATTTAAACTTTCTATTTCTACGTTGATTCAATATACATATGTAACCCTTTGAACTCGAAATAAAAGACAATACGCACTCTGACACATTTGATTCATAGTTAGATATATTACTAGAAAAATATACCTTACACCTAACAACAAAGCTGAATAATAAACGTAATGATAACTTTTAATTATCAACTTCCCTTATTTCACATGCAACATACCATTATCCCCTGCATATGTAGTTTACAGCAAAACTCGGTTATAACGAAGTCACAGGGACCTATGAAATTACTTCGCTATATCCGTAATTCGTTATAACCGTATAAGAAATTCATTAAATTTATATAGTTGGGGATCCAAGATGACTTCGCTATATCCGTAAATTCGCAATATCCGTGTTCGTACTAAGCGAGTTTTGCTGTATATATTCGTGTTGATTCAGTATGCAAGAAGATGAACTATGTTCATTTCGCGAATTAAGGTAATGGTCGATGCAATGACCTTGTCAGCAAAGACAATCTGGCATAAATTGAAGTGTTTTTTTTTCTCATACTTATAGTTAAGCCATTGCTTATACACAAAATTGTCTACGGATTATTATGTTTCCCGTAATCATGACAAGGAGCACACAGCATTGATCGGTTAAATAATAATTGACAGCGGATGCTTATGTCTCCGTGGCACCGAATCCCGACCTTGTGTTTGATTTGCTCCCAATTTGCACTGTTTCAATGAATTCTTAACCTTTATTACATATCACTATCGAAATATTTCATTTATTTTCCATATATATGTACTAGTACTTTGCAACAGACTGATACATGAAAACTCTTACTCTACTCGTTATTTATATAAACAAGATTTCTAAGATTCCTTTGCAATAAATTTTTTGTTTATATTTTCATACAAGATAACTATAAGAAGATGAACTTTATAAGCTAAAATTAGATCTACAAATAAAATTTGATAATTTTTCATTTTCTACACATTTTTATAAAAAGAAACGGTGTCAGTATGTAAAATTAAGAATAAAATAAAAGTTTCTGAATATAAAATAGATTACCTTAGAGTTCGCGAAAGTATGACTCAATACTCTGCATCAAAGCTAATTTATCACGAATTGTGTAGGCGCATCATTGATCTTAAACGAGTTGGTGGGCTTTCAAAACTGAAATATATTTCTAAACTATTTTGATTTTGCGAAACAAATATTTGGCATGTGATGACCGTTGGACATGATATCAGCTATTTTCGGTAACTGGTATTTATTTTGGATGATTATTAAATCAGGAAAGACATAAATCTTTAGGGAAGAGTTACTTTTTCTGGTAACCTAGATTTGTTTTAAAGTTGTTGACAATTCAGTCTATACATTTGAATGAAAAAAAATATACTTAATTCCATAACTTTGAGTATTATCTACAAAAGAACTATAAATTTATAAACTTGATTAAATTCAAGAGATGTAATACGTAAGGCCAGGTAAAATTAATCTTTAGATTCTCATCCTAATTTGCTAAAAAATTGGGGCGGGTGGGCGGATTTTATTTTTTATTTTTTACAATTATTAAATTATAAGGATCAACAAAACATGGATGCCTCGTACACATTCTTTTTCATTATGTTAATACAAATATGATTAGATTTAATTCTTTTCATATTCTTTTAAATATTCAAAGAAAATTCTTGCTTTAAAAATTAAATATTTATTGTTAATTAACAAATTATCAAGTACAACATTATACGGCACACCCTGAACAAAATGAGGTGGGAATACCGATAAACTGTGTGTGCGTGACTTAAAATTCTTATTTTGCAAAATCTATATAAATGTTCTAATAATTAATCTACTGAAAAATCTAGGCCTTCTCTAAAGTCTGTTGACAACATTGTTGTTTTTTTTTTTCAAAGCAAAATCACACACAGCTGGAGATCGTTATATATAACTTGACTAGGTGTCATTTTCCTCGTCTATTTTTACTTAGTTACAATCTCTCTAAATACTTGCTCCTGTCAGTGATGGTATCTAGATGTGTTTATGCTATTTTTTCTTCTCTGTCTTCTCTATACTGACAAATTATCTTTTCCTTACATATTTAAACCGATTTTCTCCATTCTTCACATGGCTCCTTTGCTATAAATAGCGACACGCGACTTTTAATACAGACGGGAGATAACTCTTAAACTTTGACCCAAATTCTTGCTGAATAAAAATACATGAAAATACCTTTATTAACACCCAAAAATCAAAATAAAAAACATCGGGGCGGGACACTTTGAGAGGGGCGGGCGGGGATGAGAATCTAAAGATTAATTTTATATGGCCTAATGTAAAGTCGAAAAATGGTTATAATTATATAAACAGTTGGAACTAAAACAGTTCTTCATTGGTTGACATGAAATTATATAACTAACGTCATTTTCTTATCCCCAAAATGAAAGGACAACAAAAGTGAACACATATAATAATAACGTTGCACTGGTAAGGATAGTGTTGTCATATTATAAATTTTAGATTTACTGCACGCGGTAAATTAAAATTTACAATTTGATCGTGATATTTGACATCTTACCCTTATTCTTGCATAATTTTTATCCGCTTCTCCAGTTCTTAATTATCCGTATATCCTAATTAATCAATTCAACTATTAAAGACTCTTCTGGCTTCGCCGAACGTAAATCGCATTTTTGATTCATATAACCAATTCCATTTACCGAGAAAACCTGGTAATTAATACAACATAACTATAGAGTTTGAGCATGTAAAAAAATCCCTGGAATAGACCAAATATCAATATGCAGCGAACTGCAGAAAGGTGTTGTAATGGCGTGATATTATGTACGACAATTGGTCTTGTCTGACGTTTCCCTCGGGCAACAAAGCTTCGGGCTTGTCTGCAGAACTTGTGTCGAATTAACCATTACAGGCATCTATAAATCTATAGCATCTATAAATCGGACAAGGGACCAATTGATAAGATTGATTGAATTCTACGTGAAGAAGTTTTGGTGTTTTATGTGCATACCATGTATGTTATGATTACTAAAAACATAAGTATACTAGTCATGTTATTTATCTGAGTAATGATATATTTTATCTGAAGAGTGTCCAGTCTTTGTAACTCTAAGACAATCATGCTTTTGCCGGAATTTGAAATCCCCAGGAAGACAAAGAAGAACAACCCAATGTCTTCAACTCGCATATAATTTTAGATAAAATATTCCTAAATTCATGGAATTAACATAATTTATATTTTAAATAGACAAAAAAATTGACTTAAAAAAATGTTTGAACTTTTGAAAACATTTTGAGCTTCCAAATGCACTTAGTTTAGCCTTTTACAAAAAATTGAAACAAAGTGATCAAACCAAATTTAATATTATTTTGTTTCTCAAGCTCATATGGATATCAAACTTTTATCTCTCTTTGTAATGAACTTTGAAATAAAAAAGTAACAGTGGTGTACTATTTCACATGAGAAAGATGTTAAAGGCTAGAAGATGTCATCTATATTATGATTATTTATGATCTACCAAATGACAAAAATAGCATCGACAGACACACTTTTTACCGTGATTTAAGAGACACATTTAATTACTGAATTATTTACGTAACATAATTACTGATTAACGAACCTAACAAGTGGACATCTTTTAATGCAGGAGAACAAACTTATTTTAGATATTTAGATTTCCCCTAGAAAAAAAGCGTCAGCGGCGGAAAAATTACACAAATTTTTTTTTGATCCACCACTGTTCTCTTTCAAAGGAAGTTAAATTGAAAATCATTTTTCATGTATATTTTTGTGTTAAGACTTCTTGAATAGATCTATATTTTATAAACTTGAACCTTGGTCATAACTGACGCAAAAGTAGTGATAAGGTCTTCATATTTAACTAGTGTATTTCTTTTTAAAATTCCATTCCTTGGTTACCATCAATTTTAACCCTATGACTTTCGCCTACTTTTGAAAAACTTTAATCCTTGGTCATTACTTAAAATGGTTTATGCTAGGTCTTGTATATTTAACTTGTGTATTTTTGAGACATGTTCCATCTTTAATTACCAATATTTCGTATCTTTTGACCTTGTATTTGAGAAACTTAAGCCTTTGCATTGAGCACCTTTATCATAGTCTGAACGTTCAAAATCTGCATTCTCTAAAATGTACGTACAAGTGTTTGAGTATCGCAAGGCCTTCAACTCTTCTTGACAACTACATGTATACTTCTGATTAATTATTTAATTCAATACAAGCACATCTTTTCCAGACATACTAGTCAGAAATAATTTATCTCGCTTCTAATCAATAAAATGGAAATAAATCTACTTCATGTTTATTAAGAAATTTTAGTTCCTTGGTTTCTTATTATTTCACAAAATAAATTTATATTAATAAAAGTTGAGCAAGATATATTGAGCTTCTAAACTCATTTAACTTTTCACACAAGTATCAACTAACACAAAAAAGTGTGAAAAAATATGACAGGTTTATTTATCATCTTCTCTTATTTTAATATGAACCTTTGTCTTCTTAAAACATAGCCCACTTGTTTCTCTGTCTATGTTTTTTTCCTGATCTTTTAGAAGGGGGCTTATTTGCAAAAATTACTTTTGATAATTCATAGCTGAAAGAATGGCGGATGCCACCAATTTGCATTTTTCTCTGTAAATATCAATCTTATTCTTTGCCTGTGTGAAGAAGTCCTTTCTGCATTTTTTTTTTCATTTCTTCAGTTATCTCAGAACTAGGAAATATAAATATCAAGAAGTTATTAAACTAACACTACACTATTAACAAATTCTTATTCGCAAAGATCAGATATCTGAAACAATGGAAGGTTACAACTTTTCAGTAAAACATCTTCCTACATGTAGAACAAAACACATAATTATACATGTAGAACAAAACAACCAAAGAGCACTTCCCAACTCTAATACAAGGAGTCAGAAAATGGTCTCTTTCTCTGGACATTTCTTCCTCTGAAAAAAGATAAAACTGTAATTTCCTGTTACAAAGGTCCCTGGCTTTATATTCTTGTTCTCTCGCCTTTCTTCTCCTGAGTCAACACACGGGATACCAATAGCTTCCACGATCAAATCACTGTTAAGGATGGCTTTTACATTCCTGTGTCAGAGTTCCGATTTGTATTGAAAAATTAATTAAAAAATCTATATAGATTTTATTTAAACTTGTGATTACCTCGTTCTTTATACAATTGATACTATTTGTCTACAAATATCACACAGTAAGATGAAAAAGCCAAATGTCTGATAGGTTATTGTAGCTCAACAAAGACGTAAAACATATAATTATGATAACATGTCGATGTGCATGGATGTTTTTTTTTTCTGAAAACTTATGTTGGTTACCCATTTTTTGTATTTTTATATTGTTCTATTTTCTTGTAAGAAGAATAATGACAGAAGTATTTGCCATCTGTTTAACTTCGCGCCTCTTCAGCAATGAAGCTTCCTGCGATTGGTAAATGTTCAAACACGTGATTTGCAATTAAAACAGTAAGCCACATACTGAAGTGGTCTTAATCAGATATGGATGTTTAAAAATTCCAAGGAACTTTTTGAAAATTTGAAATAACAAAAATTTATCTCAATCAACAACATAAAAGCTTACAACTTTATCGACAACCATTTCCTGCAATATCATAAATTCCGGGATTTTTGATTTCATTGACAGCTTTTTTTTTCGATAAAAATGGAACTCGTAAATGTATTTTCTTTGTCACTGATCATTTGCAAAATCATTTTGTAAAAACATTCCGGTTTGTATTCACATGAAGAAGAAGTTGTCCAAAATTTCATACGTGAAAAAAAGAAAACACCATTACTGTGTCCTTCAACTCGACATTTACTAGTTGGATATATCGATGACGTATTGTCAATTTACAATGGTTATTCCCATTATTATAACGTTATGGTATTTCCAAATGAGCTTTTAATAAAAGATACCACAGAATTTGACAAATTTGTTTCATATTTGGATATTTTACTTGAAAAAACCATAAATGGTAATCTAACTAGCAAGCTTTATGATGAAGGTGAAGACTTCTACTTTTCTATCGTCAACTTCCCTTACTTATGGAGCAATATACCTTCATGACTTGCATAAGGAATTTGTATCTCATGTTTGATGCGATATGCAAGAGCATGCTCTACATATGAAAAAAAATTTCTAAAATGTTGGTTACTGACAAACAAGATGATGATTTATTCAGAAACAAGAATATCAGCAGTCTCTTTCAAAGCCATCCATCGTTTCGTTAGTTCTATGGTCGATACAATGACTTAGCAAATACAATTCATCATAAAATCAAATGCTGACTGATGTTTTTCATACTAATTGTTCCGTCATTATTCACACATTGAATTGTTTATGAATGTTTCTTTATTTCTTAATCATCACAAGTAGTAAATGTACAAGGCGGATATAACCAGCTGACGGGGAATGCTCACTCCTCCATGGTACATGTACCTGATCCCACCTCTGATGTTTTGAATGTCTGTGATTGCTCTGCTCCGAATTTGTGTTGTTTAAAGAACTTCTGAGTCTGAATACTGATCGTGATGCCAATATAATTCATTTAGAAGGCAATGCTTTAGGTAATTTGTGGGAAAATTCTTGAACCAAAACTTTTGAAGTTTTTGAAGCTTTTGAAGCCAAATACTAGAATGTCTAATGAAGATGTGTTTTCACAAGATGTTAACGTTTTAACTATAAAAAAAAACGTGCACATTTACTAGAATTGTATTTGTAAAACACATGTTCTCTTTCTGTGCCCTTGCTGGTTTAATTTTATTCACATGTGCATGGTTAACTCATTCTATTATCCGTAAGTATGTTATCTACTACGTACCTGGTTTCGAGTGAATGAACTGAACATAATCAATTGATGAAAAAACAAAAAACACTAGACTTTGTACACTTTAATGAGACTAAAATGACAACATATGACAACAGAATACGAATAACCGACAATCCTTTGCGCACTCATTTCGGATTAAAATGATATATTGGTACAGGAAACTGAATCACCCTGTGTCTGCTACTGATGTTTATTTTCTGTTAACTATAAAATTGAATTACAAATCAAGATCTTTGTTAATTTGTGTCATACTGCGCAATTGATATATCACGGCGAATATGCACTACGAAAACCAATTAGGATCCATCTCAAGACATTAATGTCATATCCCTGTCATTTAAATATGAAAGTGAAGACATGCATCTGCAACAACCAGAAGTACATGTACATAGAATGTATTGCACAAAGCGATTGTAAATATAAAACTCAGTGAATTCACAATACATGTCCTTTTTAAAATTACATATATTAAAAGAGTCATTGCATGAGTTTATGAGATCGTGCAAAGGAGTGAGGGGGTCGTTTTAGTTCAAACTGGAGGCATCCATTTTTTGTTTGTATAATCTGTCCTTAAGGTATTTTTAGACCATATCATTTTATTTAATTTTTTTTTCGTTGATTTCGGAACTTTAGTTCAAAGGATTTCATTCTCAAATGTAATCAATTTAAATCAGTGGGTTAATAACGACTCGATTCTTCGCCGTTTGATGTATTGGACAACCTTTCCTGTCCATAGCAACCAAACAATTTTTGGCATCCTTTTCTGAAGTCTTGTCGCTGGTAGGCGTAGATGAAAGGGTTCACCACGCTGTTGAAGATTCCAAGAAACACAAGCCAGCTAGAGAGGTTGAAGCTAAAATCCGAGGTTATACCAAAACCATATCTGGAATTCATAAAAAAGAAAGATTAGAACACAAATAAGTAATAAAAAAAGGAAATTTTCTCTTCTGAAAAGTTAAGGGTCCTCCACACACCCAAAGCTTATGTTCTCATATTATTGAGCATTACTTTTAACAAGCATATCAACCTTTAAAAACTGTCCAGGGATTAAAATTTAATTTATACTGATTTTTTAAAATAATTATTTCACAAGTTTCAAGAAATTTTTCCCAAGGCGTTTTCATACCTAGCACAACAAGTTTTGTCTTACCCTTTTGTATATTTTTAGGGTCACAGAATAACCATAAAACTTAGTTTAATCGATCAACATATTTTTTACAGAAATTTATCTTATTTATGAAAAGTACATAAAACTCATTTTCTCTAAAGTATATCTCGAGAAAAATCAATAAGGACTATTTTGTAGAGAAGAAACATTAATGAATTAGATTACATCAAAAATTGAATTAAAATTAAATGCACTGATGTAGATAAAACATTTTCAAAATCTTTGGTATATCAAAGTTCCTTTTTGGAGTTATCTTTCCTGTTGCGCGGGACTCAAAAAATTTGGCAAGTCTCCGCATACGACACCACACTATATTTCGTAATTAGTGGCCACTGAACTGGACAGATGTTAAAGAGGAAAGCTAGAAACAAACACTATTTTATCAATATTTATAAACACACAATGAGATAATGTATTATTGAAACGCACAAATTAGTGTGCCGAAATTTCAACTATCAAAACAGACTCGGTTGATTAGCCTGAAAGTATAAATAACCTAAACGTTTCTCGTCATACCCGGTACCTATTTTTTACGAATTACTATGTAACATAATCCAAGACGTCTCTTGTTCTTTTATTTAAAAAAAAACCCACATCTTTTTCCATCGGTCACTCCGTGTTCATGCCATGTGTTCATTGTTTACAAACGGTGCTAGGCCAAATCGTCCATCCGTACATTAGATAAAACCGGAAGTAAAAATCTTTTTTCTCTATATACGTTACATGGTGTGGAGGACCCTTAATTTGGATTTTAAAAAAAATATGAAGCATCTACAAAAAGTATTGCATTATTGCAAGATATTCATAATTTGATAAGATGATAACAAAATTATGAATAGTGTCATCTTTGAAATTCGATTTCCAGCAGTTGCTGCCAGTTAGCATCAATCTTTATACGTGAAATGGAGTCTTTCAATTTTTCTTAGATTGTTTTGTTTTGCGATTCAATCACAAATGATCTTTTCTGTATCTACAAATTTCGGTTAAAAGAAATCAACAATATTATAAAAGACCAAGAAATATTTTAAAAGACAAAATATAAAATAAAACAAAATTATATTCTTACCGTATTTGATACACTTTGTAAGGACTCCAACTCACGATGAGAGCCAAAGTGACGTAGCCCATCACTTTAGCTGAGCGGATGTTCTTTATAATTTTTCTGTTGCGTTCATTGTCAGGACCCTCCGTTGCTTTCTTTAAGGATTTGGCGTACACTTGTCGAGCTTTCCTTAAAATCAGACCATACAGAAAGACCGAGATAACCATGCAGGAATACTCAGTGACACCAGACACGAGATACAACCAGTCGTGCAAAAGGTAGGCAAAGCTGCATCGGACACCTTTCTCCCAGTCATTAAAGTACACGAAAGGTAAAGCAGCTATAATGAAAGAGAATATCCACAAACTGGCAATCAATGAATTTACAACTGATGGTGTCATAATACGTCTGTACAGAACATTATGACAAATGGCAATGTATCGATCAAAAGTTGTGAATCCGGCAGCAAGTTGAGAAGCCAAAGTCATCATGGATACTATTTGAAATCGTAATAGACAAGTGTACATGTTTTTGGACAGTTCTCGAAAGAACAGATAAAATATCTGAGAACCTGAGGATATGCCCACACAAAAATCAGCCACGGCCAGGCAAAGAATAAACTTAGTTGTTGCAGACATGGGCTTCATGTACCGGCTGAAAACCATACCAACAATGCCGTTCCCTAAGCAAGCTACGACAAAAACGAGCATCTGAAGAGAGGTGAAGACAATTAGAATGGTAGGAATTCCTTGGCTAGACGAAGAGGAAGGAAGTACGGTTGAATTTTCTTCATTGATATTCATTTTTAAATTAAGAAGCGATTAAATTAACATTAATTCTAAAATATTTTTTTTTTACAAAATCGTTTCACTGGAATCTCAGAGGCATGCACAAGATCTCATTAAAAGATGAAGCTTGCTACATGAACTAAGCAAGTGACAACTTCACAGCTGTGAAATAAATTTATACCGCAGAAAATTGTATCACGTGATAACTTGAGAAATCTGAAAGGCGGTAAACCTATATGGATCTTTTGATAAGAAGGGGAGCGTTTATGGGTGTGGTGTGTAAATTGTGATCAAATGTAAGTAGCGATGCATAGGTCATTTTATAAAGTTCTTTAAACTGAAGCTTTAGTGTTTTGAGTACATGTATATTTGTCTAAAGAAAAATCTAAACGATTAGATATCAATGAAATGCAAAAAAAAATTATAGATAGAGATTGTTTTATTTCACATTTTATTAATTTGATAAATGAAATAATGAAATGAAATTAATTTGATCAATAAAATATATTAGAATTACCAAGTCAATTTTAAAAAAATGCCTGTCCATTCTTTAGAATTGTATATTTTTTTCAGTATTTCATATTTGATAAATGTGGTATTATTTTTATAATTCATTAAATGTTGCTACTCAAATTAAAATTTACTGGCACAATTTGATTCATATCATTCATATAAATTTGTAAGCATATTATGTATATAAAGGAAAAATATTGGAAGAATTATCTCTCTCTTTCTATATTTATGAACAGCACCGAAACGAGATATTTCAACATTCTCCTACACATGTCATTGTAAATAAAAGAACTCTTGACAAATAAATTTCAAATGTTGTAATAGGTTTCCACCAAATTTGTCGGATATGAATGCTAGTATGAGGTGCCATAAAATCATATATAAAACCTATATAGGCTATATAACAAGGCAAATTAAGAAGTACAAAAAAATATGATCTGATGATATAATTTAAATTTGTATTTTAACATATATGATTGGCAATTACATTAATAATTGTATAAATTTGAAAAATTAATAAGAAAGCATAAATAGGTTTTGGTTCTGTGGTTTGACAATTGAAAAACAAAAGCAGATAAAATATCATGCAAATCGCTTTGTAGTTGCAATCATGGAAACTAATTTTAGAAGCAGATATTAAAAGTAGCGTTCAAAGCATGACTAGGGTTCTGATTCCTCCTGACAGACAAAAAAGTTTTAAACTCATCACATAATTCAGACAAATCACAAAATCCAGGATCTTTCCTAAAAACCCCTTAAACTTGTCGGAAAAATCATCGAATACTAGTAGTTCCAATTGATGAAATTTTGATTGAAGTTAGCTTCAAGATTCTCACTATGATTTCTACGTGTTGGTTACAATAAATATGTATTTACTGTCCAAAAAGATCTTTGACTGTTTTATGTTTAATGATTTCATTTCAAAAGTTAGTATGAAATCTTTACATGTAAGTCTTAGATTACTTTTCTATAAATATCTATCTATACATTGTATATATTGTTTAATAAAAACTTTTTGATCAGTCACATCAAAGATAAGGGATCTCCAATGTTAATCATAAATGTTAATATTAAGACAATAAAGATATGGTTAACAATTAATATCGGTGGATATTGAACTCTCTCATTCTAATACAAATTTTGTTTATTTGACAAAAATATCGAATGATGTTTTTCTTTTCCTCTAAATGAGCTTTTTTTTTTTTTTTTTTTAAAATATACGATGAATAATTATCAATGGTAATAAATCTTAATAAATTAGCGAGATAAAATTAATTATTTTGCGAATTTGAAACAAGTACATGTATTTTTAAATGTATGTTCGAAGAATTTTTGAAAACATTGAAGTAACACGAAAATGAACCAAACAAACTTACTTAATACCACATAAAAACAAAATAAAATCGACCCTCCAAGAAAATAGAAACAATTATTTTTTTATTATGAATTTTATTTCTTAAGAGTAACGTCTTCAGTAGCATTGTATGGCAATATATTCGAGAAGTAATGTAAATTAGAGGTTGATACTTAAAAACCCCCAAGAGCTCTTTGAAAATTTGAAATCATAAAAATTTTACCAAATTCAACAATATCAAAATAACAACCTTTCAACGATTTATACAAAACTGAGTCATTCCCCACTATAATTAAAGTCAAGGCTTTTTGACATCTTTGATAGTTGCTTTTTCAATAAAAAATAGTTTACTAACCTTGTCATTTGAAAAATTTGTTTGTTAAAAACATTCTGAATGAAACACTTGACAAGTTCTTTGAAATTAACATTTCAAAAAAAGCTTGAGTTCTTGATTGACAATAGCTATGTAGTTTAATGGAGACTAGGTCTCCCTACAACCAAACACTCATTTTTGTATTCATATGAAACAGAATTTATTCAAAAGTTTATACATTAGAATATGAAAATACTTGCTGTTGCCTTCAACTCAACATTTACGTAAATATACCGAAAACATATTATCAATTCACAATTAGAGTTAGTTTCAATTAAAGGTTTAAGTCGATATATTCAAGTGAACTAAAAGTAAAAGATACTACGGAGTCTGATATATGTTTTATATTTGGACGAGACATTAATGGTAATCTTTCAACAATAATTAATAATGACCGTGATGATTTTTTTTCTATCGTCATCTTCCCATACTTGTGTAGCAATATACTTTAATTACCTGTATATAAGGTTTATGTCTTCTAGTTAATTCGATACGCAAGAGCAAACTCAATATAAGAACAATTTTTAAAACTATGCAACCTATTGACAAATAAATTGATGAAACAAAGATATCAACAGTTTCGCCCAAACTCATTATTTCGCAAGCTCTTTTGCCGATACGATGACCTTGTCAGCAACTACAATTTATCGTTTTGTCGAATTATGATGGACGTTTTCCATATCAATTGTTCAAACATTTTATACAACGATTTTTCTTCAGATTTTTTCTATTTGACCATGATGACAAGAAGCATACGGTGTCCATTCAGTTAGGGGATGCTTATTTCTCCGTGCTACCTATCCGACCTCTGATGTATTAGAGCTTATTTGCTCTGCCAGTCATACTCCTATGTAAAGAAATCAAAATCTTTGGTATCCGATGGAAAATACCATGATATTAATATCAAACTTTTTGAAATCAGCAAAGAAGCATCCCGCATGGATTAATCTAATTTTCTATGCTTTCTTTCTCAGTTTTAATTGACTATAATTAATTATGCATTTTGTAAGAGTAAGAAGAGGTCAACTAAAGAAGGATTTCAATGTACGAAATTTATTTTTTGCTTTATCATAAAATAATAACGTGTACATGTATTTATTTATATATATAATATTAGCCTAGATATCTGAAATTTAATAAATTCACAGTATAACTAGAATCAGTGCATTATCCAGAGGTCTTCAATTTGGCTTCTATTTCGCTCAATTAATTAAATAAAGGACCAGCGTAAATGTAATAAGCATGAGGACTTTAGTTCGACCCTGGTATTCCATATATGGTTCTGTCAAATAGTCTGAAAATACCTCAAAGTGAATTAAAAAAAAACAGTTTTGCTTCACACATGTACAGCAAGCTGCATGTATAGGACTTTACTACTCCTTAGGTACTTCTTGTGTTAATACAATCGGTAAGACGCAAAAGAGCAAACTTATATTTATTTTTGTTGAATGAAAAATAAGAGTTTTTAATTGAAATATGACCCATCTTCTGAAGAAGAATTGGGACTTTGATGAATGCAACACAGTTTCCTAATCTTTTTCAATTCCCTTGTCTTTTTGCAGATTGATTTTGATGAATCATAGAAATTGACCTGAAAAAATACAGAATTTGTGAAACAATATGACAGTTAGAAAGATTTTTTGTACATTTTGTTGTTTATTAATTTTAAATATGAAGTTAATAATGTTCATGCTTAGAATGAAAATGAATAAACGACAATGCCTATGGTACATATAGTGTATTCTACAAGCACATGTATACGTTTACGAAGCAGGTCGTCACATATGAGTGCGTATATTCTATAGTTACAGATATTGTTATCAGAAATAATTAAGATTTTTTAATGCATTTACCTTAATTGTTGGATAAGGATAATCATATGATATAAATATATGTTACTATTTTTTTTAGAATGGCAATACCGCGTTCTTTTTAATGATACATGCAACTGCAGTTTTCATGGATAGTCTCTCATCTATTTTACGTACTTCCTTATGTCTGCTTATGTTCAAAATAACTTCTATCAAAAAAGAAAGCCTACATTGTATTTATGTGTTGTATAAGTATGGAATTGTTAAACCTGGTCATATTTTTAAAAATCATTAACTATTTGCTTTATATTTTTTGGTGCAAAATAGTTTTAAAAAGAAAAGGGATTCAGTTGAGAAATGGAATACTTACGTCTAATTTAGAATAAACTTATTACTTCACTTAGAACAGCACTGAGTGTAGACAATGTATGAATTACAAAAATATTATAAAAATAATGAAAGAAAATCTTTTGATGAAAACTGGAGACCTGAAAGATTTATTTTCATAACCCCGTCTCTCTCTCTCTCTCTCTCTCTCTCTCTCTCTCTGTTTCAAAGTTTGTTTCTTTTTGTAGAA